GTTCGTAAGTGCCAGAGCTAGAAATCAAATCCAGGTCAACCTGACTTCAGAGCCCATGTTCTTAACCATTGCAAAAAATTGCTGTATCATTTTAATCTGTAGAATCAGTATGTAGCAATAATAATATAATCATTAATGTGTTACTTTTTGTATATACCAAATATTTTCCAAAGTAGTTTATTATTAGTCATATCATTCCTAGTATCATTTATAGCAGGAGTGACTGTGGTATACAGAGATTAAGCAATCAGCAGGAGGCCATTACACAGAACCAAGAAGTTTCTGATCCACATTGCCTTTATTTGAGAGGTTCATATAACAATCATACAGTGTTACTTATACTTCACTTCGATTTTTCAGTGTAGCATGTTGAAGTTATAAGTGCTTATCTCAGAGAGCGATGCTATCTGAGCAAGACAGGGACCTTGGGCCGTTGTGTGGATTTCAGAACAATAGAGCCTTATTGGTACATGTTAGAAAAGTTAACCCTGGGCTTGTTATAAGAATCACGGCAAAGCAGAAGAAGCAAAGTCAATCTGACACGTTTTTTCTTTTCCAAGGAGGGCAGCTAAGGTGCCCAGATATCTTCGCCCTCGGGGGTGCAGGTGTGCTGTTTTTATTCTTTAATCATTCACATAAATTAAAGCCTATTCCTTTGCATTTAAAAAATAATATAAAACGACACTCTCCGTGTTTTATTGCCAGACAAGAGCTTTGAACTTCTGTCTCATTGAAGTTTGATAAACTGCAAGGATTTTCCAGGGTTGGGTGGTGCCCACAGAGGGAACATTGAACTGATAAGAGCTGCAGGTGAAGGAAACCACCAGAGAGTAGTGGTTAGAGAAAGCTCCTCGAACTTGGCTTGTGGGAAATTCTCTGCAGGGAGGAACTTTTCCCTGCCTTTTCTGGCTCTTCTTAGCTGCTTCCCTTCACCCGCAAATAAAAAGGGCAGCAATGCTTTCTGTTTTCACATTGTGAACAAGGAATGGGGGGGGGTTGAATACTTTGTGGTAGAGTGGTTTTTTATAAGAAACTTTTAAATTTGATGACAAATTCTAACTTCACACAAAATGCTGATTGGCATACACACCTACGCAGGTGGGGACAAGACGTGCCCGTGCATGCGTGCGCACACACACACACATTCACACAGACACAAATGGACCACATTTCTCAGATGATTTTACTGTCAACATATGCCCCTGCCTTTGTGGTCTATGTAAAATAAAGATCATATTTACTGGAAAACTGATTACACAAAGTGTTAATGATGAGGCAGTGTGGTATAGTGTAAGGAGCATGGGTTCTTGGTTTGAGTCTTGACTTTTCCTTTCACTAGCTTGGCTGTGTGATCTTGAGCAAGCTACTTTAATTCTATAAATCTCATTCTCCCATTTGTAAATGGAGGTATGCAAAATATGTATGTATCATAGGATTGTGGTAAAGACTAAAATAATGCATGTTAAGACAATGAGTACAGTATCTGGCATATTGTTCACTAAGTTACACAGGTGCTCCAAATTGTTATCATTATTATGTGTAATACTATTAAACTCTATAAACATCCGATTGGTAGATGAATGTTAAACATAGTCCTTTTTCTTTCTTTCTCTCCCCATGCCCCAACTTTTTTTGGTGCAAAGTCGCTTTCCAGAAAATTTCTCCTCTTTCCCACCCACAGGAGGACAAAAGTACTTTGATTCTAATTGCTCTGAAAATATTTCTTCCTTAAAGGGCCTTCACATTGACATTTAGTCCCTGAAGTCAGGGAGGAGAAGCAGCAGGATTTGCAACTAAGTAGAGCTCTTTCATTTCTACCATCTAATCAAAACCAAAATCCAAAACACTCCAATCGTGTACTAGCCTTAGGTAGATCTAAGTCAAAGAAAGTCCATCTAGTCCAAGGAAGGAAACTTTTTTTTTTTTTTTAAGATTTTTATTTATTTGAGAGAAAGCACACAAGCGAGGTAGGGAGCAGAGGGAGAGGAAGAAGTAGACTTCCTGCTGAGCAGGAAGCCCAACACAGGGCTGGCTCAATCCCAGGACCCAGGATCATGACCTGAGTGGAAGGCAGATGCTTACCCAACTGAGCCACCAGGTGCCCCGGAAGGAATCTTTTCGTAAGACCAGAATAAGTGGGTGGAAAAAGGGAAGGAGAATACAGAGGTGACAGTGTCGCTGATTCTAATGTGAGTTTGGCCATTTTCTTCCCAATTTAATATATATTAAAGTATAAAACAATGAATGCCAGAAATTGGCATGTGTTATCTCTTCGTTCTCAGTTTTGGCCATTTCTTTTTTTTTTTTTTAAAGATTTTATTTATTTATTTGACAGAGAGAGAGACAGAGCAGGAAACACAAGCAGCAGGAGTGTGAGAGGGAGAGCAGGCTTCCCGCCGAGGAGGGAGCCCGATGTGGGACTCGATCCCAGGACCCTGGGATCATGACCTGAGCCGAAGGCAGGTGCTTAACGACTGAGCCACCCAGGCGCCCAGTTTTGGCCATTTCTTGAAGAAAGTTTTCCAGTTGGGTGAACTGTTTCTGAAGCACTGACTTTATTTTCACCTCTTTTTGGGGGGGGGGTGCTAGAGAATGTTTGCAGTGCATTGATACTTGTTAGCTTTGGGAAGCACTCATATTGACAGAATAAGTCGCAGAATGTAAACATGTCATTCATCTGGACTTTAGGCCCATGCAAAGGTGGTGAAACCTTAGGTTACCATTGTCAAATGAAAACTCTCCTGAGTACAGCTTGAGTAGATAAACTTATTTGCTTTTTAAGTTTCACTAGACTGCCAGGACTTCAGGAATGGTTTTTTGAAGTGCCTATTTTTTTAAGAGGTGGGGGAGGGGCAGAAGGAGAGGGAGAGAGAATCCCAAGCAGACTCCACGCCCAGTGCAGAGCCTGACACAGGGCTCAATCTCACAACTCTGAGATCATGACCTGAGCCAAAATCAAGAGTTGGACACTTAACCGACTGAGCCACCTCAAGGTACCTTGAAGTACCTATTTTTTATAAATTTTAGGTAATTCCTCCATATTTTCCTGAGGGATGAAACTATAAAAGAGACAAATGTCCATCTTGGTAACAACTTTGTGGCATTGCTTTTTGACAAGATACTCATTACTTATGAGGTTTTTTGTTCTCACTGCTCCAGAAGAAAGGTTTTTTTTTTTTTAATTTGTTTGTTTTTAAATTTTTGGATGGTAAATGGAAATACTGAATTGGAAGTTTCTATGTGAAGTGTGCCAGGATATCATTGTTGTACCTAAAGATAAAATTCAGGGAAAGGGAACAAGCATTTGTTGGGCACCTGTTGTAATGGCAACTCTAGCCTATGTTGTTTATTGAAGTAAACCCCCAAAAGACCTTTGAGATAGGCTCTTAAGAATTTATATTATCAAGCAAACCAGGGACTGTAGTATTTTACATGCATTATCTGATTCAACTCTCATAACCCTATGATGTAGGAACTACTAATATTATTATCATGAATAGTAATAGTATCATTATCCACATTTCACAGTGAGGAAATAGGCTTGGAGAGTCCTTTGCTCAAAGTCACACAGCTAGGAATTGGTAGGACTGAGAATGGAACTATGGTCTCTCTGAACTCCAAAGCCTAAGGTCTAAACCAGTGATTTTTTTTTTTTAAAGATTTTATTTAGTCATTTGCGAGAGAGACAGAGAGAGAACAAGCAGGGGGAGAGGCAGAGGGAGAGGGAGAAGCAGATTCCCTGCTGAGCAAGGAGCCCGAAGCGGGACTTGATCCCAGGACCCTGGGATTATGACCTGAACCGAAGGCAGACGCTTAACCATATGAGCCACCCAGGCGCCCTAAACCAGTGATTCTTAAACTTCCAGGTACATAAGAAGCATGAAGGATACTTGTTAAAAATTACTGGCCTCCATGAAAAGTACTGCATAGGGAATATAGTCAATAATATTGCAGTAACATTGCATGGTGACAAATGGTGACTACACTTACTGTGGTGAGCATTGAGTAATACGTAGAATTGTCAAAGCACCGTGTTGTACATCTGAAACATGGCATACAATGTTATATGTTAAAGTTTCTAAAAAAAACCTTTTTTTTTTTTTTAGAATTATTGGGCTCTAGGTAGAAATTTAAGGTCACTAAGTCTGAGATGGTGTCAGATTACAAATCTGTATTTTAACAGGGTATCTCTGGTGATTCAGATCAAGAAGTTGATTGACTGTATTTTGAGAAAGAGCTAAATTATGTTTCTTTCCACACGTGATAAAGAAGAAAACAGGTGTAGATTAAATAACTATCCAGGATTAAGCTACCAAAGACAGAGCCATGATTCAAACCAAGGTCTGTCTAATTCTAATACACCCTTTATTACAAGCCCATGATTAATTCACACATTTTCCCATCACAACAAATGCAGAAAATGTGATTTCTGGTAAATCGAGCCACACAGATTTCATGGTCCTAAGGCTAATAATTTATAGCACCATTACTGACATTTTCATTAAATTTCCTTAAACTTTTCCACGACTTTTTTTGTCGTTAAGGAATTGAGTTTTCTTTGCAAGCAGATCATCCACACTTCAGGCATGACATCACTACTCGCTGGGTTGTTTCTGAGACATGCAGAAGTGGAAGAGGGTGGAAGGAGATAGAAAAGAATTCCCAGGTGTAGCTAAATGGTGCTAAATGTAGCTAAATGGTGCTGAAGCTCCTCACCCTCATTAACGTCACCCTCATCACTGAAATGAAGAGTGAAGGGTTGATATTAATAATAATAGCCAATCAGATGGCAATAGGTCATGTTCTACATTGTCTCCCATTCTGCCCTTTGAGACCATAGCTCAGTTAGGGCCAGCAAGTTTGTGTTGCCTATTCTAGTCCACTTCCTAGGGCAGAAGCAACACCTTGGTTGATTTTCATGGCTTCCTACTGGGACTGGGAAGACTAATTTTCTTTGTCTCTTTCTCTTTCTGTCTTGATTTTTTTTTTTTTTTTTTTAGCCCAGCGACACGTCCTCACGTACATGGAGGATGCAGTGTGCCAGCTGCTAGAGAATAAGGAAGATATTAGCCAATACGGCGTGGCCAGGTTCTTCACCGAATAGTAAGTACCTGTTTGGCCAATAGGGTGAGCCCAGAGGAGGCACTTGGAAGCAGGCAAGGTATATGAAGAATAGAGCAGGGTATTGCTGATGATGTAGTGGCAGTGAATGCTGAGTTTTGGTAGGCTGGTTGAGGGCTGCCCAGACACGTTTTGGAACATGCTTTTGGTGCAGCTAGTTTTGTCCAGTGATAAGTCTTTTTCTTTTTTTAAAGATTTTATTTATTTATTTGACAAAGAGAGACAGAGTGAGAGAAGGAACACAAGCAGGGGGAGTGAGAGAGGGAGAAACAGGCTTCCCGCTGAGCAGGGAGCCCAGATGCGGGGCTCGATCCCTGGGATCATGACCTGAGACGAAGGCAGACGCTCCACGACTGAGCCACCCAGGCGCCCCATCCAGTGATAAGTCTTATGAGTGGTCATGACTATAGTAGCTCAAGAACGAATTGTTTCATCTGTTAGATCGGTTTCTTTAGGTCCCTCCTATAATTTTTAACTTTCTCCATTATTCAGAATACTTACTGTGATTGCCTGTCATCCGTGTTCCTTTGGCCTGTGTTTTTCATAGCTGGCTTTTCTTGTGGAAATGCGTAGGATGATTTGCTTCTGCAGTTTTCTTTCTACATCTAAAGGATGCTGTGTCAATCAGCTGAGGATTTTAGAGTATATCTAGAGGCAGAATAGCTTTCATGTTGTGTTTCTTTGTAAAGCATGCTTGCAGTGTGTAAAAGTCAAAATGATTACTGCTTTTTTAATGTCACAGAACTGTTCTTAGGCTGAAAGAGCATCCGTTTTGAACTCCTTGGTCTTCATGAAAGGGTGTGCTAAAGAATTACACAATGTTAATTTTAATTCCAAAATGCCATCACACATTTGTATAATCATTTGGATTCTCCTTCCTTTTTTTTATGGTTTATTGGGAACATTTTAAGGAAGAATAGCCTCTAACAGGCTTGTGTGTGTTTTTTTTAAGCTTTTTATTTATTTGGGAGAGAGAGACAGAGAATGAGAGAGCGAGTGAGCACGAGTGGGGTTGGGGGGAGGGTAACAGACTCCCCCCTGAGCAATGAGTGCCAACATGGGTCTCAATCCCAGGACCCTGGGATCATGGCATGAGCCGAACGAAGGCAGAAGCTTAACTGACTGAGTCACCCAGGCACCCTAACAGGCTTCTATCTAAGGGGAATCATGAGCTCAAGTCTATCCTCCTTGAATATATATTTTTTCCTTTCTGTGCTCCACTGCTTCCTTAAAGATCAGACAGCTGTTCTAATGGCCTAAACTTGGGTTGCTGTTAGGGGGATTCTTGACTCTGTCTAGCTTCTTTTGCCAAGCTATGGATCTTGCAAATGAAGTCTAGATTTCTTATGGATTGGAATTTCAAGTCCCTGGGAAAAACAGGCTCTCTAGGAGCAGAGCCTGTCCCTTTTCCCGGTCCTCTAAAGGAGGATCAGGGAAGGAATCTTGTTCTCATGGTGTGGGCTGAAGCAAATGAGGTGGGCAGGGAATAAAGACTGAGATTGAATAGTCTTGCTTGCTCTTACAGAACTGACAAGCCTAGGGGTCAAGTTTCTAGGCCATTTAATCTGTACCAGCACTCTTGAGGCTCTTTGCCAAGTGAAATATGATTCTTCTGGGGGCAATGCTTCTTCCTGGTTTTTTCGTTTTACTCTACCTCCCCCATCCTCCAAATCCTTTATTAGTCTTTCCTATCACACTGGCTCCTTGAGGACAGGCTCTTCATCTTTGTGTTCTTAGTGCCTGGCACGATAGTTAGCACATAATAGATGTTAGGTGAATGTTTGTTGAATATACAGCTGTATCTATATTTTAAGTTATTGCACACTCTTTACTCTTATTCTCGTTCTTGTTAGTAAAAAGGACTTTCTCTTGCCTTCTCTTTCTTTTTTATTGATTCTCTTTGAGTAAGCTCTATATTCTGCCATATAAGAAGCTGTATACCATGTATGTAGTACTCCAAAAGTGAACCCAACTGGTCTAAATAACTGATACTGAACTCTATAGAGCCAATAGTAAATCTTATAACTGTTTCAAAATGCTACTGAATGCTATCAACTGTAACTTTTATCCACCAATACACTGTTGAAAAAAAATCTTAAGATTTTCCATAGTGCTGATAGAAATCTAGTTGCCAAGTGAGCTGTTTCTTGTCCTCGGGAAACTAAAAATTACATAATGTTTATGAGTGGCACATACCTGACCCTTTTCAGAAAGCATATTGGCCCAAGGCAAGTTATTTTGAGAAATGAACTAGCATCAAAGCTCCAAAATCTTAAAACAAACAAAACAAAAAAGACTTGAAAGGTATGGATGTATGATGAAATTGAAAGTAGTATTTGGTAGACAAAGAGACCTGAGTGGTAGAAGCTCCTGATTTTCCTTGATTATGAATTTTATTTATCTAGTGAAAATCCTTCCTTATCAGGCTTCAGTTTTGTATTGATTCATAGCAGCATAATGACACTGCCCTAGGAAGAAGAGTTCCTTATTCTTAAAAGTCCTCGCTCTATAATCTTGGGCAATTTTTGAAATTGTTTTTGGAAGGAAGGCTTTCCTGCTGATTTTCTTCTCTGGGTCTGCTTGTCCCCTCACCTGTGCTGTCACTCCTTGGTTGTTGGTGTTTTCCAACAAATCCATGATTGTTCCAGTAAATCTGGGTAAGCTGCAAAACATGAGTAGCTAAGCTGTACTGTGTGTGTATGTCTGCAAGACTGTGAGCTCTTTAGATCATATTCCTCTGGACACTCTTGAAAGAAGGATACTAAATCCCAGAGGATTTTCTTTTATGTTGTATGCAACCTCTACCTCTGAATGTTGTCTTTCAACCAGTGGAAGGTAAAAGGAATTAATATTTAGAGGTGCCACTCTAAGAATAGACCAAGTGTCAGCATGGGGTCAGGACCTCTGAAGAAGTATATCCAAGAAAATGAGGCTAGAGTAGTTATAACTTAGAAACCACAGCAGAGTGTGACCAGGTTCTTGTGGTAAAGATAAAATGAGAAATGTGGTTTTTTAAGACATTGGAAAATAATGATGAGAGAAAAACAGGCTGAAATCTGAGAATTCCTATCAGGATTGGGAACCATTCTTCACAGGCTAAATTGATAGTTACAAAACTGTGGCATCAGGGAGCTTGATTTCCCCATACTAATATAGAAATGAATGATACTCTGTGGTCTTGGTTGGTGGGCCCAGGAGGGCTCTTTCTTATGATCAAGTGTCTTGTTTTTGTTTTTTTTTTAAATGATGGTTTTAACTTCTTGGGGATACTTTCGTGATGTCTGTTTTGGTTGCAAGTACACAGATACCTTCATTGATAGAGGTTTATTTCAAGGATATGTGAGAATATAAGACAGCATTCATTCATGAATTCATTCAGCAATTATTTTTGAGCACTTACTATGTGCCTATGTGTAATAGGCAGTGGAGATAGAGTAGTGAACAAGACAAATAAAGTAATCATTCTCATGGATGTAAGGGTTTAGTGTGGGAGATAGTCAGTAAACAAGTAAACTGATGATGACGACAATAGCTAATAGTTAATAAATACTTGCTGTGTGCTAGGCACTGTTCTAAGCATATAACATGTATTCTCTCATTTAATTCTCACAATACTGGGGCACCTGGGTGGCACAGTCGGTTAAGTGTCTGACTCTTGATTTCAGCTCAGGTCATTATCTCAGGGTGGTGAGATCAAGTCCCATGTCGAGCTCTGCACTGGGCATGGAGCCTTCTTGAGATTCTCTCTCTCCCTTTCCCTCCGCCACTAACCCCCTTATGTGCACGTGCTCTTTTTCTCTTTCTCTCTAAAAAAATGAATAAGTAAAAAAAAAAAAAAATCTTTAATTCTCACAATACCATGAGGTGAGGTTTTAATATTCTCTTCATTTTATACATTAGGAAATTCAGGCACACAAAAAGAATATTACCAAGGTTACACAGCTGATGACCATAACAAGATAAATAACAATGAAATAACTAGGGTAACTTGATACACAGGATAGTCAGGAAGGCCTCTTGGAGATGGCATTTGAGGGCTTATCCCATGGGATGATTGACTCATCCCATTAAAGAGCGAATAAGTTATCTCTGTTCAGGTGACTCACCTTTTTGTCCACCTTTGTTACCTAAGCTTTCTGTGTCCAAAAAAGATAATATGATTGATTTTTCTTTTTTTAAAGATTTTATTCATTTATTTGATAGAGAGAGACACAGCGAGAGAGGGAACACAAGCAGGGGGAGTGGGAGAGGGAGAAGCAGGCTTCCTGTGAGCAGGGAGCCCGATGCGGGGCTCGATCCCAGGACTCCGGGATCATGACCTGAGCTGAAGGCAGACGCTTAACGACTGAGCCACCCAGGCGCCCCAATAATATGATTGATTTTATTTGCTGCTACCCAGAATGGAAAAACCTTAACAGGCAGTGATCAGGGAAAGCCACCTTACAAGTAATTGGTTTCCTATGCATTGCTCAGATACAATAAGTGAAAGTAATAAAATATTTAGACATAAAAATTATCTGTGTTATATATAATATTAATATGAAGATTGAAATCTTAGTTTTTAGAAAAAGAGCATTATTATATCTTGATATATATATTAATCATCAGAATTCAGTTGGGAATTTACATACCTTTTTAATATACTCTTATAGTAAAAGATACCAGCATCAAATCCTTTTTTTTTTAATTGTTTTGATTAGAATATATCCATAAAATGTGAACTTCATTATTTCACTCCTGGAGATGAAAAGGAAGTTCCAATGGTGCATATTCCTAAATCATTTAAAGTATAACTCTAAAGAAAACAAACCATCATTATAAAATATGTACTATTTCTTCTGTTTTTAAACAGGTGCTCTAAACCCTGTGAAAGATGACCTACTTCTCTCCTAAGTAATGTAGAACAATCAGGGTGTAAACTTTCAGTTCTAAAGTTGGCAGATTTTTTTAGGATTATCCATCATCCAGCATTTAAGTAATGT